GTTCATGGGCATCGTTGTATGGCGTTGCTCCTGGTAATCGATTAGAGTATTTTGAGCTTGAGTTTGTGAATGGGTCTCTTCGGATCCCGCGTGAGGTTGTCGAAAAAAGAGCAAAGGTCTGGGAGCATAGCGTGGTCGGTCAGTTCCTTGGGTGTCCAGCGTGATTTCTGCTATTAGGTATTGGGCAAACTGGCTATGGGAAAGAGATGGTGAAGTGCAGGTCTTGTGGTTAGATAATCGTTTGATTTTGTTCAAACTCTCCCATGCTGCGATCTGTCAGTGGGTGCTTGAGGGTCGCCCTTGGCACCGGATAATCTTGTGTGTTTGCGTAAGTGGGAGCCAGGAATCAGACAATTAGATATTGATAGTACTGCAATTACTGTCTGGGTCAAGTTATTGAACATTCCAGCTGAGCTCACATCTAAGGAAGGGCTTGGTCGAATAGCAAGTTCATTAGGCAGGCCTCTGGGGGTGGATTTACAAACTAGGAAGAGTGCTAAAGTTAGTTGTGGCAAGGTCTGTATTAAAATTAAGGCAATGCATAAGCGGATTGATAAGTTGAGTATCACTCCTGATGGGATGAATGAGATGTGGATTGATGTTGAATATTGTCATCTTCCCAAAGTTTGTTCTAAGTGTGCTTGTTTTGGCCATGATTGTGATATTCTTGAGAATGGGGCTAGAGTTTGGGTTATGAAGAACCATGTTATTGGTGAGTTGAAGGATGGGCCAACATTACAGAATCAGAGTCAGGATCAAGCTGCACCTGAAGTTGCTGAAACTGTTGAGGCTATAGTGGACAAAGGGAAAGTTGTGATGGACACTAAGGGGTCTGAACCTGTAGGGGGGTACTGATGCAAAATGCTACTCCTCCAGTTGAAGTTGAAACTCAACAAGATGAGGATGGATTCACAGTGTTAGAAGGAAGAATAAATCGAAAGAAGTTCAAGTTTCTGGGTCATATGCATTGGCGGTAAGCAAGAAGCTTGATGTTATTGCTCGATTAACTCAGCCTCGATCTGTGGTTCGAAGTTTGGTTCCTCTTTCACCTCCTAACGGCAGGGGGAGGGGGAACGCAAAGTTAAATGATCATCCTTAGCTGGAATATCAGGGGATATAACTCCCCTAATAAGCACTCTGCTGGTAGTTGAGGAGGTTTAAGGTGGATATGGTGGGTTACTTGAAACTAGGGTAAATATAACTAATAGCAGCAAGATAGTGCTTTCTGTGATTGGGGTCATATGAATAATTATAATAAGTCTCAATCAGGGCGTGTTTGGCTTTTCTGGAGGCCTGGTATTACGGTTACTAGAATTGAGGAAGGAGAGCATTATTTGAAGGTTCTAGTTTAGGGGACAGTCCAAGAGATTATGATATTTGTGTACAGCCCAAATACAGACACTGATCGACTTACTCTTTACAATGAGTTGTTGAGGCCAAAGGAGGGGCAACATTTTGTGCGATTTTAATGCCATAGATGATGTACATGAAGCTTCAAGCTCTCAGGACATTACTCAGAGTATGCAGGATTTTAGAAAATGGATTCAGAAATGGGGTTAGTAGATCATAAAGTTACTGGGGGCTGGTTTACATGGTGGAATAAGCAGCGTGGGAACCCTATTGCTCGGAGAATTGATCGGATCCTGGTTTTGGTTGGAGAAATTTTCAGACAGTTTAGCACGCACTATCCCTCCCGGTGTCTTTGACCACTGTGGGTTATTGTTAAACACTTCGCCTAAGCTAGCAACCTTGTCAAAGCCTTTCAAGTATTTCCAGTTCTGGCAATCTCATCCCTCGTACATTCACATCATTAAGGAATTCCAAGTTAGAGGTTTTCCTCACTATATTTTGTATGGCAAGCTTGGTAAAGTTAAATCTGGCCTGCACAAGCTAAATAGTTAAATCCCTGTTCATTTTCTTAAGTTGCTTAAAGCCTGTATCTGTACTCCAATAATCAGTGTCACTTTGAATGGTGAAATTTGTGGGCGATTTGATGCTAAGAAGGGTTTACGACAAGGGGATCCCTTGTCCTCGTACATGTTCATGGTGGCAATGGAGGGTTTTGATTGTTTAATGAAGATTGCAACCAGGGAAGATCAAATCCCCTTTCATCCTCGATGTAAACCCTTAGGGTTTTCCTAGCCCTCCCTTCCCGAAAGGAAGAACGTGAAATTTTTTTTCCTTTCCGCAGGGACCAGGAGATTGGATCTAGCCGTAAGAAGAATGCTTGGCTGATAAATAACTCACTTCTTGGTCTTCGACCCCTTCAGTCACTACGAAGGCCCCCGATTACACATATGTGCTTTGCGGATGATCTAATGGTGTTTACTAACGGTTCAACTAGGGGTGTGGCAGGGATTTGAAGGTTATTAGATCATTTCTATCTTCTCTCCAGGTTGAAATGTAATCCAAAAAAGTGTCAGCTCTTTTGCTCAAGAATCTCACAGGAGGAAATGGTTAGGATTGCTACTTATACTGAATTTCCTTTAGGTGTGCTACCTGTGCGCTACTTAGGAGTTCCTCTTATAAAAGGAAAACTTGCTCGAAGGGACTGTCAAGTGCTAATTGACAAGATTACGCAAAGACTACGAAGCTGGAGGTCTAAATCTCTTAGCTATGCAGGGAAGTTACAATTAGTTACTTCTGTGATTTCTAACATAGTGCAGTACTGGATGAATGTTTTTTTGCTGCCCCAGTTTATTATTAAAGAGGTTGAACGATTGTGCAATGATTTTCTTTTGAGTATTGATGAGACTAGCACACGAACTCGAGCTGTTGTTGCCTTGAAATTTCTAGCTCATCCTAAGCAGGAAGGGGGTCTTGGAATTCAAGACTTCAGGATCTGGAATCTGGCTTGTGACTCTCGCCACCTTTGGGATATTCTTGCAGGAGAAGGCTCTCTTTCGGTCGCGTGGATCATAAGGTATAGAGTCAAGCATCACAATTGATGGGACTTGACTTGTACCTCTACTGGCACATGGATTTGGAAGAGGATATTAAAATGCATATCTGTTGTGTCTCCTTTCATTACAGGTTCTGGTTCTAGTTTGAAATGGGATGGTGATGTGATGTCTTGCTATTATGTTACTAAAGTCTGGAATTCGATATGGGTCACTTCAAATGTTGTGGATTGGTTTCGATTAGTCTAGAACAAATATGTTATTCCCAGACATGCTTTCTTATTGTGGCTTGCTCTGCAAAATAGATTGGTCACTCAAGATAAATTGCTTGGTTGGGGAAAGAATGTGTTGGGGTTATGTCTGTTGTGCCCAGGGGGATTGAGACTATTGATCATTTGTTTGTGCATTACCCCTATGGAGATAGTATTTTGAGAAATTGTTTGGAACACTTGATGATACCAGTTGTGAGTTCCTGAAGTGAAAAAGTTGGTTGGTGTTCCTCCCACTGGTCTAGGCAATCTGCTGTTACTCGAGGCAGGTTATTGTGATAACTATAAATAGTAATCATCGTGGTTACTAAGGACAAACTAGGTATAGCAAAATTTTTATTAATTACCTTTTTTAATAAATTACATTTTAGGAAATTACATAAATATATTAACTACAATTTTCTCTCTCTCTCTCTCTCTCTCTCTTTCTCTCACTTCCACAATTTTTCAGTCAGATCTCTCTTCCTTCTTTTTCTCAATCTTTCATTGATTTCGTTCAACCAACTAATACCGTTGCAACAACAAAACAATAAATCAATACTAATTCATTAAAAAAATACTACCATTGTACAAAACTTCAATACCATTCGAGAAATAAAAACACCACCATTTCACAAAACACCAATACCATTGCAATTTAATAAATACCGATGCGACAAAATCAATACCAATACGACAAAAACACTACCACTACGAAAAAAATCACTACCATTAAAAAAAACATACCAATCCTTAAAGATGCTGGAGGTTTGCACGACAGCCCTAGGCGCGCATGGGACGACGGGTCCAGTCGAGGCGACGACGATGCAATAGACGGTGGAGGTTGTGCTGTTAACCATGCCGCCAGAGGAACTGACGAGCGTAGAGGACAAGACGGCAGTCAGCAGTGAGGCCTAGCGTGACGCCAAGCGGAGGGAAGAGGCGGAAAAGCTGTCCATTTGCATTGCCGGAGACGAGGGTGAGCGCGTCGGTGCTGGGATCGCCACCCATCCGCCTGGTGGCTCGCCCGTGGCTGGAGAAAGAGGCGCAGAAGGAGTCGTCGGACCAGTAGGCGACGATGGATGAAGAAGCGGAGCTGTCGACGAAGGAAGGTGTCGACGTCCATCTCCTCTCTAAACCCAGATCGCCGCCGAGGAAGAAGTTGAAGGACAGGGAGGCGAGAGAGGGCGGTGTCCCTCAACCTCTCGCAAACCCTAAGCCATCGTCGAGGAGGGTGAGAGCTTGCGGCTGCGGCTGGTTTGGCTAGAAGGAGGGAGGGTAGAAGTAGGGTTATGGTATAATATATAGAATAATCAAGTGTAGTCTTTTTTCCCCCAAAATTATACTGAGGCAATCTTAACAGTAAGATTAAAAAAAGAGAAAAGAAGAAAAATAAATGGTGAATACTGATGTAACCACGGTGGCTACTAGAAATTCAGTTACCACCCTAACGCATTCCACTGCTATTCGTGTGAGGCGCCTGGTTTGGAGCTTTAAGGTAAGCATGGTGTGGAGGGAGAGGTGAGCTCAATTGTACGGTATTGTGGCTGCAAAATCCCCTGAAGTTGTATGCAAGCAGCTATGTCGAGATGTATGTTACCGTGCCAATGGTATCCAGGATCTCCAGATTTGTCTGTATCTGCACCCGCCTTAGTTTGAGATGGTATACTAGGTTTTCTTAGATTGATCGTGAGTTAAGAGTTTTTTTTTTTTTTTTTTTTGTCTTTTTGAGGTTCTTTCTTGGTTAGCACACAAAAGATGTAAATGTTCTGACAATTTTTTGAGGTGGCTAGGTATTTTCCTTAGATGGTCGTGTTTAATGCAATTTTTTTATTTAACAATAAAAAAAATAGGGCCAAAGTAGTCTATTATTGTAAAGTTATCCAAAATAAGGTAGTAACCAACAAATATATTATTACTGAACAAAAAATTTTCAAAAATTCCTTCACAAACGTGAAAAACAGGACTTTTAAAGAGTGCAACTCGCTCAACAAACCAACTTCTGCCTCAGATTTAGTAAGTCGTTGCCCTTTAACCAATCCATTATTATTTTTGTGAACTTAAAGCATTTTCCATCACATCACAATGGTGGCAAGTCAAGAAAACAAAACGAGACCTAACAAGTTTCCTCCATGGAGTGCTATAATTGAATAGAAATTTGAAGCAGAGGTAGGTAAGTAACTGAAGTGGACTCAGTTCAGAGTGGGCCAAAGTTTACTGGTTTAGAACTGAACTGGTTCCATGAGAGCTCTCTCCATCTGCTTTGCCCTTGTCTTAATGGACATGTCAAACACCTTCTGCGAGAACTCAACCACAAGGCCCCCAAGGATGCTAGCATCAATCTGGGAGAAAATAAAGAGAGATTTTGTGAGCTGAATGTCCGTAAATTATGTTCGATATCAGAAGAAACTAACAGACTTTGTGTTTCTGTCAGCGAATGTTAAGCATGTATACCTTCTGCTCAAGTGTAACTTGCTTCCCCTGCCCAATAATCTGTTGCAGTGTCTCCTTCAGTTCTTTCTCTTCCGAAGGGGGGAGGGGCTGGTTGGTACAATACAGACCAATGCGATATTGTCAAACAATAAAAGAAAGACAGATCCTCTCACCAACAAACTGATAAAAACCACAAGTTTTTTCATTGAAGATCCACAGAGGCAAGAATAAGCCCTTAGGGTAGGTCACTGGTTCCAGATAGCTTCACAGCTAGCACTCTTATCTCTCAGTTTCTCCTTCTTAAGCCTCTTATTGAACCAAGGATAAAGCTCCTAAGTTATTTGAACTCATTGCTCGATAAATGTACAAGAACTTGCTTATACATGATCATAACATTAGGGGGCAGTAGTTTATCATTTATTATCTATATAATGGATGAAGCTTGCTTATACAAGATCATAACATTAGGGGGCAGTAGTTTATCATTTATTATCTATATAATGCATGAAACTTAACTTGTGTAGGCTGAAAGATTGATGTCATAATACTACTAGAGTTGTGACTGATTCATGATTAATTTAATAAATTTAATGTAGGATGAAGCAACAGTTGGCAACGAAATCAGGGAGTTGTACAAAGAAAGTTGATGCATTCAAAGTATAACTCACCATAACTGTTGTCACGGTAGCTTTCACAATTCCTTTATCAGCCATTGTCAGCTCTGCAAACTTCTTAGCTATGGTATCAATGGATCTCAGCCTTCCATTCTCAGCAAGAACAACTGATCCAAAAAGCAATTATATTAGCTACCTCTCAGCACGAAAATCTAACAGAGTCATCATTGCAAAGGGAAAAACAACAAGTCAATGAAGAAATCAGGCGCATGGCACCTAAGCACCCCTAGGTTAATTCAGTCTGCACCTCAGGCATGCTTCAGTAACAGCAGACAGAATAGCAGCTAAAGCTAAGAAAAAATTATGACCACAAAGTATTGGCCCAGTTGAAGTTCTAAGGTCACCTGAATTGACAGCCATGAAGCCTAATCCAAGGAGTCATGTCCTATTGTTCTAGAAACTTAAATTGAAAATTTTTAATGCCCATGCAAAGCAACCTATGTTGTCATTGTCATACCAGTTTACTGTAAGTCAAGTGCATGTCCTATGTACAAACTACCATTCACTGAGTGTACTAAAAGTATAAAGCATCCCCCAAAATGCAAATAAAAAGCATAGTGACAGTTCTTATGCCATGAGCCAATATGACATCCATCCAGGCAAATGATAAGGAGACATGATCCTTTAGGTATAAGATAGGTGCTTCCATACTGAGGAAGCCCAGCATATAACTCATCGGATGATCCTATAATTTCACACCAGGTGCTCTGTAGATGGACCAGAAGACTGCCATAATGACAAACAAATAACTTTTGTCTAGCAGCAGTGTATGAAGAGGTATGCTTCACTAGCCTAAATAAGGAGCTTCAACACCAATAACCTTTTTTGTGTAGCAACAAGCATTAAAAAACTGAGTACAAGAGAACATAAAAGCGTTCAGGTAGCAGCAAACCAAAGTAATATCTACTTCCCAAGACAAACCCTAGTCCTTATTTAGAGAAGAACTTCTTACCCAAGAAGGTCTTGGTAACTTGTGAAAATTTAGCTTGTTCAGCTATGTCAGTAATTGCCTTGACTCTCGTATCAGCAGGCACTGACAAGTCCTTTGTGAACTGAGAAAAAGTAGGACTTTTCTCCAAAGCTTGAACAAGGTCAAGTAGTTCAGTCTCAACTTTATCCAGCACATTAGCCTTTTTGGACGCAATGTACAAAGCAGAGGCATAGTTTCCAGCTCCCCCATACAAAGCTAATGGCAGCTACATGGAAAATAAAAACCTTTAGACGAAGATTGTACAATGGAACTAGAAAGCCATAATGTTTTGGTGATACAAGCTCTACATCAAGACATTTCGTTCACAGATCCAACCCTACTACTCAACATTTAGATGCCATCAAAATCATCTCCCAATTAAGAGGGCAATGTATTTATGCAGATTCACTTCACATAGAAGTTCAAAGAACTGATGATCTAGTCTCAAGCGTGTGACTGAAGCACCCAAATCACCTCAAAGAGTGTAAGAGAAATTCAAAATAGCGTAATAAGACAGGGCAGGGAAACATTTAACAGGTTAGTGAATGACCAAAAAACCTCATGCAGAAGTTAGACCATGATGCAAATATATATATACAAAAGGTTTATGAGTCCCTGCATCTGAAAACAGGATTCCTGGGGAAGTAGTGAGCAAATATATATACAAAAGGGAAAGAAAGAAACTGGCATTAGATAAGCCAATGAATTCAAATACCTTAATTTTCTGCTCCTTAGGAGGCGCAGCTGCGGTGGCATAATTTCTTGAAGACTGCAAGAAACCAGATCATGTTAATCAAACGCGTCAAAGAAATGTTTGAGAAAAACTATCTTTTTAAACTTATACTCGAAAAGAAAAATGAAGCCTTCCAGGACAGCACAAGGGTAAAATCCAGTATATGTTGTTCGTGACAAAATATGTTCAGCCGATGACATAAAAACGATGATACACCTAATTTGGCTTATCGGGAATTCAAGAAATTCCTTAACCAAACACTCGTTTTAAAGCTCTAAATCGATAAATCGCGATATATAGGTGAATTAGGCATTACTTACAGGATTTTTGGATCAGTAGAGCTCCAAAACTAAGCTCTGAAAATTTCCACCTAGTTGGCTCTGGGTTCTCTGTTCGCTCTGGTTTGGGAGAGTGAAATGGAAAAGGAATTAATGGGACAGGGACTTAGATGTATGTATTTATACGGAGAGGTCCCAAATCCCCACCGCTTCTCTGTCCGTCCTTATTCATTTTATTTTTTTTCGTATATTATATATATATATAATATAATTAATACGTATACTTATTCGATTGATATTCCGATTTTCGTCGAAATACTATCAAAATGCTCGATTTTAAATCGCAAAATTTCTAGCGATCGAAATATGGGTTTTGCCGGAACGAGATGTTACAATATATAATCTCATTTTCTATTTGAAACAAGGACTCATAAAAATAACAGGTCATCACTCCCTTTTATGCCTCACCCGTTACCTAATTTCCGATCGTGTCTCGCAGTCCAAAAATCACATTTTTTCGGCACCGGGTTCTTGTGACAGTGTGAAAATATGAAGAGTTTTTATCCCCTTCCCTCAACTAGTGAACTTGTGATTTTTGCCGCCAATACACTTCTTTTGCAACCTATTGTTTATTAAGCTCATCTTCAAGTGCATTAATCCGATGCCAATCCACCCGCACAGTCTTTATTGCTTCAATTTCATTCTCAAGAATTCGAATATTCCTTTAGGAATTACTAGAGCCAGCTCTACTCCAGTCGTACAGAAAATGTTTGAGCTTTTTAATCTCATCTACAACTTGTACATAGGATATTCGATTAGCTGTTCATTCCAGATGTATTTAACAAATAATCTCACTTCCGGATTTTCACACCATCTCGCATCAAAGCGAAACAAGGGAAGTGATGTCCTTACATAAGGTTCATCAGCTACTATAAGAGCTCGATGATCCGATCTCATATCAATACAGTATTTTACTAAAGACTGCGGAAATCTTTCTAACCAGGATACTGATACTAAGACTCTATACAGTCTTTCAGAAACAGTAGTATGCTCCATTCGCCTATTCGTCCATGTGAAAGGTGACCCTATATACCCCAAGTCAATCAAACTCATGGCATACATAAGGTCTCTGACTGTCATGGATGAAGCAGGATCCCAAGGTAATCCACCCTGTTTCTCATTAGCATTCAACACACAATTCATATCTCCAATAATAAGGTATGGGACATGGATTCCTTGTAAATATAATCTCAGTTCATTCCCCTATTGAGCATGCACAACATGATCACAAGACAAATACACCCCAACCACAATATAATCCAAACCACCATCCAATTCATTTCCAATACCACAAGAAACAAAAAACGAAGAATGTTCCAAAATAGAAAGTCGTAAGTCACTATCCCACCCCACAACCAACCCACCAGAACCATTGACAGGATCAACCAAAAAGAAAGAAGAAAAACCTAAACCCATTAACCGACGGGTTACTAAGCGCCTACGAGACTTCGTTTCCGACAAGAAAACAAGGTCTAGCTTATTAGACCAACAAAACCTAAAAAAGTTTGAAACGTGAGGGAAGGTCTGATACCCTTTACGTTCCATCCCAATATCTTCATTTATATTTTTGGGCCCACTCACGGCGGGCCATCTCCACCAGTTTCTTCTTCTCTGTTGCTGCAATCTTGTCCTTGCTGCAAGCTTTCTTTTGCGGAGTAGGATCCCCAGCAAGCCCTTCCACCATCTCCGCATGACGCTTTTGTCCTCTTGAATGTCATCTTTTTAACTTATTTTTTATTTGCCATGAAAAAGAAAAGACGAACCCAGAAACAGAAGCACTGCCATTCTCTTCCTTGTCCTCCCTCCCTCTACAAACAATTTGTTACCATATTTGTTCTCAATTTGAGACCTTTAGGAGGCGATCTGCAACCTACTGTTCTTGTACGAATGGGGGTATAAACAATGCAACGTATATATAAATAATCACAATTAGATTTAGTAAAATAAGAGGATTTTGGATTATTTTATTTATTGGGTTTTTAAAGTCTTGATATCATATCCGGCGGAACTAGATTCAATAAACATCCATGAATTAATAAATATTTATACAGAAGAAACTGAGTAGTTCATCAAAGATGTTGACACCCCTGAAAGCCTTTGAATATCACATTTCTTCAATATTGAGAAAAGGTTCTCGATCGGGTGCGTCATTCTTGAGCTCTTCCACTTCTTGCAAGTTCCATACTCGAGCTGTGAAAAATAATCAGGCAAGCAGAGTTTTCATCCAAAAGGCACAAGTTTGGACAATCTCCACCTCATTGTCATCGACTTAATTAACAAGTTCAGGGGTGTTCAACGAGGAAACACACATTATGAACTAGATTGTATTCTGTGCACCAATTAATCGGCTACTAAATCCACTAACCTGCACATATCACTAGTCACCGGCTCCTGCTCTTCATCACAAGGCAGAATCCTCAGCTCACTGATACCTATTACCCATATCCAGGATACAAAAACATAAGATCTGCTGTTCATTTTCCAACATAATACATAGAAATGTAACCGAAATGAATTCAAAGAGATAATTCCTCTGAACCTTTTCTCAGAAGTTCAAAGCAACATTGACCATAGGATGATGAGCAGCAGAACAAAGTTGCGATGAATGGAATTCACAAATGAAGGTTGTGTTTGCCGTTTAGCTACCACCACATGAACTCAACTATAGCTTCTAACTTTCTTCCTCAAACAATTTCAAGACAAAACCCTGTCAAGCACAGAGCAGTAACTAAATGCAATAGATCTTTCCATCACACTTCACCACAACAAAAGTTCTAAGTTCTTCATTTCATCCTATCTACACGAATTCTCTCCTCACAGCCACCCATAGTGTACTAAGATCATCATTTCAAACATCAGAGTTGTAGGCTCTTCATCGCATCTAAATCTAAAGCAAAAATTCTCTCATCTTGTTGATGAATCCCCTCGTGAAAATTGAATTACCTTAAACCCCAAATTTCTGATATCCGCCTAAACAGAAAACAATAGTGCATTCATTCCTTCAATTCAATCATCCATACATTACCTGATTCTGCTTATCAGCCTCGCACTCCTAAATCACCCTAGCCCTAGTCACTTCCCTCCCGGACCTATTCGACATCCTCATCTACGTTTTGTTCTCATCCACCAATATCTGGACAATGTACGAAGACCTAAAGAAAACAATGCTTGGTAAAGCCGTCGTAGCTAGCTCGCTGGCGGGGAATCGCCGGGGCACCGAAACCAGCGAAGAGCGGGAGGAGGAGGTGGAATGGAAGAAAAAGACGGGAGGCGGCGGGACGGAGGTGAGAGCAAGTTGTAAGGAACGAGCGGAACAACCCATTGATAGAATTAGATCTGGCTGAGTTTTGAGAGGATGCCTGCCTGCCTGGCGAAATTCCGATGAAGTTTTGGATTGAAGTCTTGGGCTAACAATTGGCTGCAGAGGAATTGAACCGAAATTCTGGGTTCGGGTTACAAGAATCGGGATGTTTACCAATGCCACGTGGGTCAATAAGAATTGGCTGCCCCGGTGCCGCAATTTTAATAGCGGCACTGTAGTATTGGCCCAGAATTCCTAGTCCCATTAATTCCCCTTCCCTCGCCATTCTCTGTCCAAGCCCTGTCCAATTCCTCCAGCGAATTCCCAAATAATCCGGCCCGTCCAATTGCTCCCCTGGCCCGTGTCATTAATCCCCATCCAGCTGGGCTTAAAGCCTAGCTTTCAAGAATTGTTTGCCGGTGCAACTTTTTTTCGTGTTTTCTTCACCTGTAATACAGCAAACTCATGGCACTAGGCAGTAATGGTTTTTCAACCATTCTCGGGTTAGCGAGCCCTAAAATAGCACCACTTGGCTTAAACATACCATAGGATAATCACATAAAGTCCAAGAATCCGATATATTAAAGCCGAATATCAACCAACGAACCCCAAAATTCACCAATTTGATCATTGCTAGCATATACTTGAGACCGTAAAGGTTCGAAAACATGCACCTTGCATCTTACCTTGATGAAATGCCCAGGCTCCCCTTTGATACCAAACATTTCAGCATCCAAAACTTCACCAATTTTGTCTCCTGCAACCCTTCTGCCAAACACCGTTGTCCGACAATGTGAGGGAATACCCAACATCTGTAACCAGAATGGCACCATCACAAAGGAATCAATGACTGCACTGGTAATTGGCCTCCACGGCTGAACATGGAGGACCTGATCTTTAACAGGCCAAGGAGTCCTTTGAGCGGCCTAGTCTCGGGTCCTCTTCATTAGAGAAGAAAAATTGCAGCAACCCCATTTCCTCTTCCATGACTTGAACCCTGCAGTTCCAAGCTCCTGTGATAATTTTGTGAATCACAACCAAGCTTGGCGGATTCTCTATAAAAAGCCTCCCCAATATGCTCAACTTCACACCCTGCATCCCGACAGCCACATCCTCCATAGAGAAATGCACCACCTGATCACCATCAATCCTCTTTAGTTCTTGATTTGATTCTCTCTAGCTTCTCCTTGGTTCACCACTACCGTGGTCCCCATGGATTGACCATGCTGCTCCATCAGAGACCCTTGCTCCAGCTACCTATTCAGTTCAAGATTAACTTCCACACCAGCTGACTCCTTCGTCACCAAAACCAGGGTTCCCATGGATTTTCCATGTTCCACAATCGGATAACCTTGTTCTCTCTCAGCCGTTTCTGCCTGGCTCTGCATGTTCTGCACCTTCCACTGTAAAAAAAAACGATCTCAACATCCCAATGGATAAAACCATAATCGATATAGCAATGAAAATAAGATCCAATTTAAGCATAACATACCTAGTTCTTGTGAGCATCTGCACTTCCCCGATTCCCAGACTTCTCACTAGTGTTTATCTTTCTCAAAAAGCGCAACCTGATTCTCAACTTGGAATTGCAGTTGATTCCCATCTCTTAAATAAGTACACGACTCAGTATTCCATAGAGTCGTCTTCAAAGGAGATTCCTCCTTTTGATTGGATTTTCCCCATTCTTTTATTGACATGTAAATCTTCCGATAACTCCTTTCAATTATCCAATTTTTTTCCTGAAGGAAACTCATTATCATCCATACTGGGATTTTCATAGTTTCCACTTGATTTCGAAAAAAACGATTCCAGCCATCCATGATTGAGGACACAAATAATCTTTCCTTTGCCAAACGTATACCATACGCTGGATTCACCCTGGATTCTGCTGTAGAAACCCTAGGGATCATATCTTCACCATCGTTGCGGTGATGCAAAAAATGAGTTTCGCGATAATCGTTGAAGAGAGAGAGAACATAGCATTTTCTTTCAATTTGATTTGAATTACAAGTCCTTCGGCTTTCTCCCAAAGTAGAAGTATAGTATTTGATATGAGATTCTGTTAGTTTGAAATTTATTAAATGAATAAACAAATTAATTTTTATTTCTTATTATTGTTTGTTGAATTTATTTATTTATTTATTATTTGGATTCTCAATTTGGGTCGTGATTGGAATGAGAGGGAGGCGATTGGTAGTTAAATCATTCAAAAGTGTAAAGTTGCTTCATTTTCACATGGAGATTGTGAGTTCTATAATTGTGCTTTATAACTATACTTAATTAAATTAAAGATATAATAGTGTTACTGTTTCATAAGAGTTTGGCTAATATGAACAGGCTGTCATTTATCTTTCCTCACCTGCAACAACTCTGCATTCGTACATATATATGGTTAAGGTTCCTCTGCTGTCACGTAGCGTTTGGGCTTGTGGCATTTTCTAATTTTTTGTGTGTGGTTTACATGGGATTAATTTCAAGTTTTGCCAAACTATGTTCAATGTAGTAACGAAAAATTTAGTGGTAGGGCATTTTGTATCGAAATTGTGTTTTAATCGTGGTTCAACCATTTCATACGTTAAAAATCACCTACTAATAAGATATCCTCCAACCTATTTTTGGATTTCTATGGGAAAAGATCACTCTCACACTCCCCAAACCTCATTCAAAGAGGCGACAAAGAAAACTATGAAGGTTTCAATGCCTTTTGCAAGACCGTTGATCATACAGTTCATGTAGGAGTGGAGAAAGAACAAGATTAGTGTCATATACTATTACGTTAAATTTCAATGGTTTATGAGTGTGATTCATGTTGACCAATCCTTTTACTGTATGACATGTTTGGTGTTTTAATGGGGAATTTTGTGTTGAGTCTTAAAGTTCAAATTCAAGATGGTAGCATCACTTTTATCATTCATTCAGCACCGAACTTCTTACAACCATTAGATGTGGACGAGTAGCATGGTTGTTGGTTGGCAACGATCCTTCATTTAGAACCCTGGATTTGTATCCTGGAGTTTTCTTGATTGGCTCAGTCGGAGCGACTCGGAGGGGATGGTGAATGAACGTTTTTAGAGTCGTCCTACAGTGACATCCTGCAGTATAAAAAATTAGCGAAAATGTCCATTTGGATACTTGAGCAAATATACGTTTGCCACATTTAGTCTACTTTGATATTGTGTAGAAAATTTGTTGGATCATATATTCAATACCGAAAAACTTAACTTAGATAAAATTCTGCAGCTATGACTCGATTTTATGGGACGGCAAAAATCAGCTCAAAATTGCACCCCAAGCCGCTGCGAAGCGAGGCTAGTGCTCCTCTAGTATATAATAGAAATTAACCGCGTTTTTGTTGCGGGCTCACATGATCAGGAAAATCGGAGGACCATTATCGTTCAATGGGTAGGAATTGAAAAAGACAATAATATGAATATAAGATATCTCTTATATATAATTTTCCGATTCCCCTTTTCATTCACTCTTATCTTCTAATCTTGTTTTTCACACACAACTGTTCTAAAGCACCTCAAATAATGCATGAAACAATGAATTATAATTATCTTTCATCGAAAGGAAGATAGGAGCACTGAGGAAGGATCCAACAGTGGCATCACAAAGCTTATAACTCTCCAGTTCCAATCATTGTTCTCTAATCAAGAGGTGTGTTGAGAAGTGCACGATACAACGGGAAGAATATTGAGTTTTTGTAATGAAAAAAAGGCTGGGTAAGTGATGCAGGTGCATAAAAACCGTTTGTTTATGTCATGCTCCACTGAGAAGCACATTAAGACAAAGCATAAAGCACCAGGTTATAGGTGAGAGTTGGATAATCGCTTATAGGCATGTTTGCTACAATTGTGCCAGACATTTAGATGAGATGTTGCTTTGCGTGATTGAGTGAACTGATGGGTAGACAAAATAATTAGTTGGAAAAATTGCAAAAATATTTTGAAAATGGTACTTTTATTTTATATGATAGGGTTCATTGTTGTTCCCATATTGAGTAGTATGTAAGGAGAACATACAAAATAATTGGACAAAGATAAAAAAATTCCCTTGGGTCAAGATCCACCGATGAAGGCTCTGCTGGGTACGACACTCTGAAGATAAAGACTCTTTAGCGAGAATTGGTTTATATTCAAAGTTTGGTCTATGGTTCATCATAATAAAAATGAGATTTATGACTATACCGACATTTAATAGTGGTACCAAAAATTATGCTATAGGGTTATTATACTAATTTGTTGTTTCCATTAGTTGGTTACTAAAATAAATGACAGTAGTGTACTTGAGCAAACCTCTATGGGAAGTTAGTGAATAGTAACACTACTTAAGTTTTATATATACTAGTTATCATACCCGCACTCCGCGCTGGGAATTGTGATACATTCGCAAAATAGAAATATTACATATTGTGTTTCATAGTGAAACCAGTTTAGATGTATTGTGTAAATATAATTGTTAACATAATCAATCAGCCGACGCTAAAAATATAAACGCTTGAGATATTGTTATAACCGCACTGCTACGGATCGAGAAATCGCTGGAATCGACAAAGCAAGAAAACGAAAACAGGAAGCACATGACACACGATTTACGTGGTTCACTAACACAATGTGTGTTAGCTAGTACAAGGGCAGGAGAGCCAGTTTCACTATATCGAGGAAATTACAGATGAGATGATAAGTATTTATACTTGTCCATGTGGGTCTAAACTGTAACATAATTACCCTCATAAGCATAATTATGACATGATGATGTCATTAATGACGAGAATAATTATATCGTCCTATATGTCATGAATAGAGTAACTATGGTAGTATAAGGGGTGAGTAAATTAATTGGTGAAATGATTCGAATTAAGTGGAATTTCTCTATAGGGAGTGCTAGATTGTTGGGGGGGGGGGGATTTTCAGGGATCTAAGTATAAGGAAGGAAAAGTTGAAGGGTGAAGAGTAAGGGATATCTAGGTGCTGGAAGTGGATTGGAGGGAGTGAGCGAGAGAGAGGGAGAGGGTTCTAGAGGTGGGGGATGCAAATCTTCACCCTCACCCTCATTTCCCCACCTTCTCACTTCTCTTTATTTCTTCTTCTTCCTCCTCCTTTGTCTTCAAGATCACGCCACCACCACCATTTTCACCACTATCTAAAAGTATGAAATTAAAGATAACAAGGGAAGGTTTGAAAGCTATAGAACAAGGGAGAAGATTTATAAATAGGTAAGGAACTCATGTTTGCATCTTCTTTTTCCTTTCTCCAAGCTAGAACCCTAAGCCCTGGAAATGATTCTAGAGATAGGAATATGGATTTGTTACTTGAAACATGTTATAAGGCATGTTTTTGTATGTTAGAAGCTAAAGGAAGAAGGCTAGAGGTAGTTAGAGTTCAAAGTGGTGGAAGTTCCAAAAACTGGAATTTTTTTGTTCACTTGAACTGAGAGCCGACTCCATACTATAGCTCCACATGGCATGGAATTTTGATATTTTATTCGTATGAATATAGTTTAAGTAGAAAAAAAGAATCAATCAATTTAGTTGAGAATTGAGGGAGAAATGGCCAAAATCATGAACGGGGTAGTGATTTCCAGCAAGGCTTTTCAAAAATCTGCCCTCAAACATGGTCGAGTTTTGACCAATTAAGGCCGCATTTTCTGGAGAGAAATATGCCATAAACATCTCCTAAAAACCTGAACTCTAGGCTCTAAAAACACGATCTGGTTTGTAACTATAGAGGCCGTGTTTCCCCCTGTTTTGGCTAAAGAGGTGTTTTCGTTTCGAAACTTTGATGCATTTCATCCCATATGCATCTATATTATTCTCTATATGATTTGGTTGATTAAATGTTCTTAAATGGATTGATTAAAGGAAAGGAGAAAGCCGGGGGGTCCTCAAAGGGCAAAGGACTTGTGGATTAGCGATCAAACTGTTAGTAAATCTTCACCTATCAACCATATTAATAAGAATATGGTACTCGGGTCATGAAGCGACCCGAGTATATGAAATGTGAATGTGACAAGGAGTCAAAGATTGACTTCATTTTGATGGTATGAAGTTGGAAATGCATGTATTGTGGATGAAATATGGAAAGACATTTTGTTGAGTTGATATTGTGAATGCCTTTGCAAAATTCTACTTTGCCTCTGCAAATCAGGGCTGCCTCTGCAAAATTCTACTATGCCTCTGCAACTGACATTTTGTAGAATTAGCATGCTTATGTGATCTAATGATGAAAATTGGTTGAATGATCATGAAGTGGAATAAAATTATCATATGTGTTGGTTTTGTGATAAATTATTGATGTGATGGCGTGACTTAGGTGACGTTGTACTATTATTGAATATATAATGGATTGTCATGTTTGCATGGAATGTTATGAAATGATGCTTGTTG